TCAACTCAAGAGGCTCTGCGCGTATTCGTGCCAGAACACGATTGGAGTCCTCAGACCAGTCTCCTCCGACGAACTCTCTGTCTTCGCTTACGGGATAAGCACTGGCCACCCTAAGCCCTAAACCTAAAACCCTAAACCCTAAACCCTAGACCCTATAGGGTTTGGGGTTTAGGGTGGTTCATCTGGTTTAATCCGCCCAAAAAATGGCCCCGCAAGCAGCCCTAAACCCTAAACCCTAAACCCTAAACCCTAAACCCTAAACCCTAAACCCTGTTTCCTGAGCCCACAAGATGGCAAGGAGCTGCCGAGTGGAACCGCCGGGCCGGAGGCGTAGCCCCGGAGTACCTTGGGGAGGCTTTCAGAACCCTTATGAAGGTCGAGGGTTGAGGGTTTTAGGGTTGGGGGTTTGGGGTTTGGGGTTTAGGGTCGAGGGTTGAGGGTTTCAGGGTTGGGGATTTAGGGTTTGGGGGTTTGGGGTTTGGGGTTGAGGGTTGAGGGTTGAGGGTTTAGGGTGTAGGGTTTAGGGTTTAGGGTAAAAACACAAAACAAGAAAGAAACTCAAACGAAAAGAGCCACTTCTGGGCTACAACCCAGGTGCGGGACCAGCTGGACCCAAGAGCTCCGGGCCTGGCGTTCTTTCGTGCTTTCCACTTGGAAGTTGGTAGTTATAAGTTATAAGTTTAGGGTTTAGGGTTTAGGGTTTAGGGTTTAGGGTTTAGGTTTTGGGGCTTGGGGCTTAGGGTTCAGGGGTATACTTGGAGAATGAAGGGGAGTTACAAATAGGGCTAGAAGTACCCGAAATAGGGTTCTAACAAGTTGTAACTACAGTTCCCCTACTCATAATCCCACTTCTAACTACCCGTGAACCTTCAAGTAGGGTTCGGGGTTGAGGGCTTAGGTTCTGGGATGCTGTGTGGCTTTGGGGTCTTAGGGTGTACGGCGCGAGCGTTTGTAGTTTCTTCTTTTTTGTTGGGGGGTGGGGGGGGTTCCCAACATAGGGTTCCCAACATAGGGATACCCTTCTGTTTCTTTTTGGGGGGGGTGGGGGGAGAGGGGGGTGGAATACAAAAAAGGGGGCAGAAGAGGCTTGTACGACTCGGAGGATGAGCTTATGCACTCTTGTTACAGGGGCGATCCCCTAAGCTTTGCATAAAAACTCTGAGGATGATGATTGCACGTGCTGTCTAGGGTTTCGGGCTTAGGGCGCTCGGGCTTGGGGCGTAGGGCTGAGGGCTGAGGGCTCAGGCCTTATAGGGCTCAGGGCTGAGGGCTGAGGCCCCAGTTGAAAGTTAACAAGCAGATGCTAAGAAGGGGGGAGGATCTCCCTAAATACAAAACCCCAAGGGCTCCGCGCATCTTTCTCAAAGAGCCTGGAAGCAGCCTGAATCCCCTAAACCCTGAACCCCCAAAACCCCCTCAACCCCCCTAAAGCCCCCCTGAACCCTCTAAAGCCCAAAGCCCCCTAAACCCCCGAACCCGCAAACCCCCTAAACCCCCCAAACCCGGCCCAATTTGGGACCCGTGGATTTGTATAGAGTCCGTGAGCCGGAGGGGTATGCTTCGTGGCCTTAGGGCGCCGGAGAATTCAAACGAAGGATGGAGGGCCCAACACACCCGAAACCCTAAACTGTACTGAACTTGGAACCCTAGCAAAAATCTATTTTTATGCTGTTTCTTAGTAATGATAGCACCCAAAAATTAAAATTCTTTCCACGTACCCCGAAATAAACCCTAAACCCCAAACCGCCGCGAGAAGTGCTTTCAGGAGGTTCCTTTGAAGGCTTCGCGCCAAGGCCTGCTCCGTGGCTGTGAACGTGAATGTTGCCGTGGAGCTGGAGGTCAAGGTGGTCGTTGTGGACGTCGTGGTGGGCTGCAGAGAATTCGGTACCCTAAGCCCTCAAAGCCCTGAGCCCCTAAACCCTAAAGGGGTTTAGGGTTTAGGGTTCAGGGTTCAGGGTTTAGGGCTCAGGGCTTAGGGTTTAGGCCCTAAACCCTAAACCCTGAGCCCTAAACCGCGAGGCCTTTGGTCAGCGCCTGAGCGAGCCCTCGACCTTCTAAACCTTCGTCCGGAACTGCTAAGAGGGCTGAGGATGAAAGCGAAGCCACGCACAGAAGCCCTGCACCCATCTGTGATACTAGGTATGTAGCAGATTGTATTTTAGGGTTTAGGGTTTAGGGTTTAGGGTTTAGGGGGTTTAGGGTTTAGGGTTTAGGGTTTAGGGTTTAGGGTTTTGGGTTTAGGGTTTAGGGTTTAGGGTTTAGGGTTTAGGGTTTAGGGTTTAGGGTTTAGGGTTTAGGGTTTAGGGTTCATTCTGTAGCATACGTTCTCGAAGCAGCTTATGAGGCTCGAGTTTGAAAGTCCAAGACCTGCCCAAGGAAGTAGCTTCAGATTCTTCACCGAGCTGCCCCCGCCCGGAAGACCCAGAGCTCATTGTAGTACCTTTTGCAAGATAACAAGAAAGCGGCCCCCCTCATGGGGATTGTAACAGTTAGGGAGTACGATACTGCCTTTTAAGGACTGTTAGTATAAGGGGGGAACATCCCAAAGAAAGAGTCTTGTTGTTGAGGGGGTAGACTTGGACGCGGTAGTTGGGGGCTTACATGGGCCTTGCAGCACTTGCTCAACATCACATCTGCCAGATCCGGGACTTGTGCTTGTGAATGCAGAGAAGGCAGAAGCAAGCAATCAAGTCAACCTCTGAATCCTGAACCGAAGTCCAGCTTGCTCAGCATAGGGTGCCGTGGTCGCAGCATACTGATGATGGGACCCCGAGATTTTGCAGATTCCGGCAGTTGGGGGGCTTCCTCTCGCTGCGAGCCGAGGCACTGCATGGTCTGGAAGCCGTAGCCGCCGAAGAAGAGCTGCATGTCCCACTGCGGAACGTACACGCCCCGGGCGCCGTACTGCAAAGGAGCTGCCGGGTGGACGCTACACCCTAAACTTCTGAATCTCGGTAAGAAATGCCCCCCAAAATGCGAGAAAGACAGGAGAACCGGCGACAGCAACTCAACACATCTGACTGCAGGCTTTACCTCTAGCCGTAGCTGCTTCAAGGGCTTATGAAACGGCTGGACGACGAAGAATTGAGCAAACATCAGTCAACATTCACCCCTCGAGGGCAGGCTTCCACACTGCACGATGCTGGCAAGCTGCAGGTCCCCCTTTATGACCCGGGACATGTTTAAAACGACCCAACCCTAAACCCTAAACCCTGAACCCTGAACCCTAAACCCTAAACCCTGAACCCTAAACCCTAAACCCTAAACCCTAAACCCTTAACCCTAAACCCTAAACCCTAAACCCTAAACCCTAAACCCCAAACCCCAAACCCCAAACCCTCAACCAACAAAGCGGAACCGAAGCTCAAGAGCTAAGGCGGGCGGTCCCGCGGCTGGGGGAACTGATCCAGCGTGCCGTTTCGCAACTCCCAGCTGCCGGCCTTAGGGTTTAGGGTTTAGGGTTTAGGGTTTAGGGTTTAGGGTTTGGGGTTTGGGGTTTGGGGTTTGGGGTTTGGGGTTTGGGGTTTGGGGTTTGGGGTTTGGGGTTTGGGGTTTGGGGTTTGGGGGTTTGGGGTTTGGGGTTTGGGGTTTCGGCTTTCGGGTTTCGGGGTTTGGGGTTTGGGGTTTCGGGTTTCGGGTTTCGGGGTTTGGGGTTTGAGGTTTGGGGTTTGGGGTTTCGGGTTTAGGACGAGGGCTTGGGTCTTGGTGACATTGGGGGTGCATGGAGTGCAAGCTCTCCATTCCCCAGCAGACACCGCACCAGCACACGCCACTTTGTAAACGAGCTACCCCTCAAACCCTACACCAAGCACAGAGCCTTGAAGAAGAGAGAAGGCTCTTATATACATATACATATATTGTTTTTTGTTTTGAGGGTCACGAGCTCAAGGTAAGCTGTCCATAACACCTTCGTTGGGCGCGGGCATGCGTTGGAGCAGTCCTACTGGCAGGCCTGGTAGTTGTAGCAACGCACACTGTCGTCCACATCCGGCGTGGAGAAGTACGGGCCCGTCCCGCCCCAGACCATCATACAGTCCTTGTACGGCAAGTTATGGCAAGTTGTGTTGGGTTGGGGGTTGGTCTGCTTTAGTCTGCGAAGAGATGCATCCGGTTGCGGGGTGCGTTGTGGTGAATTGAGGAACGGCCTCAAAAACCTAACCCGAACCCCACCCTGCATTCGCCAAAAGGCTTCCCTGGGTGCCCTGAAGATGCCCAGCCAGGAACTCCCCCCCCCCCCCCCAGGGTTTAGGGTTTAGGGTTTAAGGTTTAGGGTTTAGTGTTTAGGGTTTAGGTTTTAGGGTGTAGGTTTATAGAAATATTGTATAGGGCTTGGGTCCCAATAACGTTTCGAGCGAAAGTTTTGAGCGAAACGTTTTGAGCGAAAGCTTTGAGCGAAAGTTTTGAGCGAAACGCTTGTTTTTGGATATTAGGTTTTAGGGGTTGGCGTGGGGGGTAGGGGGCAAGCGTGGGGGGGGGGGGGGGGGGGGGGGAAACTGGCCGGGAGGGAGATTTGGGGAGGGACACCATTGTTGGATAAAATAAGGGTTTCAAAATACATCCTCGCTTTTTTGAGGCCTCCCAGCGCCTTAAGTTTTGAGCGAAAAATTTGTGCGAAAGTTGTGAGCGAGAGCTTTGAGCGAACGTTTTGTGCGGAAGTTTTAAGCGAGAGTTTTGTGCGGAAGTTGTGAGCGAAAGTTTTGTGCGGAAGTCTCGGGCGAAAGTTTTGTGCGAAAGTTTTGAGCGAAAGTTTTGTGCGAAAGACTTGTGCGAAAGTTTTGAGAAACGGTTTTTTGCGAACATTTTCCTTCGGATCTTACATGTTTCTGGGAGTAGGGCCATCAGAGGTTTAGGTACTGAGCATTTGGCCTCCCAGGCGCTTTGGATGAATTTACTCAAACTCTGCTTGTCAGCTGTTTAGACAAATATCTTGTGAAATTCAGAATGGCGCCACATACAAGTTAGGGTTTAGGGTTTAGGGTTTAGGGTTTCGGGTTTCGGGTTTCGGGTCTAGGGTTTAGGGTTTAGGGTTTAGGGTTTCGGGCTTAGGCTTAGGGTTTAGGGTTTATACTCTAGGGTTTAGGATTTAGGGTTTAGGGTTTAGGGTTTAGGGTTTAGGGTTTAGGGTTTAGGGTTTAGGTTTTAGGGTTTAGGGTTTAGGGTTTAGGGTTTAGGGTTTAGGGTTTAGGGTTTAGGGTTTAAGGTTTAGGGTGCTCTGATGCAAAGTGCACGCGAACCAAGACCCTTTCGAATCCACGAGTCGAGCCTGAGCTTTCCGAAGCCTTGGATCTAGCCGAGATAAACCCTAAACCCTAAACCCTAAAGCCAGGCGGCGAAAGAAGGCATCAGTGCCACACCATGGTCTCGGCTGGGAGCAGGGGGCTTTGGGAAGACCTCTAACCCTAAACCCTAAACCCCTAAACCCCTAAACCCCTAAACCCTAAACCCTAAACCCTAAACTCTGAGGATGTTGGCGTGCAGGCTCCGGTTCGTTGTCGGATTGGGAACTTCCTGATTGGCCTGGCCACCTTGCCTCTTTGTCTTGACCGAAGGAAAACCTAGACCCAGGAGGAAGCTAGGAATGAGAAGGCTACCTTTTTTTAGGTGCAAAGGGGCTTATAAGGGAACCTGAGCCCAAGGGAACAAGGGCCCACTCTGGGTCCGAGAAAACATTCGACATTCCGGAGCTCTCTCCAAACCCGATCGCACGGGGCACCAGCCCAGCAACCGGCCATAATTTGGGCACACCCCTTTGTGGCGGAGATCTCTTTCATACGGGAACCCCCGGAAAAGAAAGGGAGAAAAAGGGGGCACCGCCTCTTCACAAATCTCATGCCTTGAAGCCGAGATTCTCGTGCGCGCGATGCCTGAAACATCCAGCAGCGTCTGCTCGCGGGTCTGGCAGGATTAGGGTTTAGGGTTTAGGGTTTAGGGTTTAGGGTTTAGGGTTTAGGGTTCAGGGTTCAGGGTTTAGGGTTTAGGGTTTAGGGTTTAGGGTTTAGGGTTTAGGGTTTAGGGTTTAGGGTTTAGGCTTTAGCCCCTTTGGGACCCCCAACAGGCAGATCCCCTTGCAATAGCGTCAAGCCCCCATTTTGGCCAAGGGGGGGCAGATGACTTCTGAAATCTGCCCTTTCAATGATCTTGGTGCTGCCCACCTGATGCCATGAGGGATTGCTTAGCAGCCTGCAAAAAGCCCCCCAACCTCAGGGTTCTCAGCCGTGGAAGAGTAATCTAGGGGGCCTTAATATACTTGGAACAGGGTTGTTTGGGGGATTGTTATGGTATGTTTGTTTCGGGACCCGAACCTAAGGGGAATACTACTAGCAATTCTTCCGACCCCTTTGCTAGAAAAACTCGAGGAGATTTCTCAGCTCCCCTTAAACTCCCAAAAGCAACAAGCGTTGATGGGGTCCCTGCTCACCGTGGCAGCTGGCAAAGGCATGAGACTGTCACAAAGAGACGACATGACGCGAGGACAGGACACTGCGACACAAAGATGCGAGAGATGCCGCGCGAGGAAGCCAAAAACAACCAACGGGAGCAGCGTGCGACACGCGGACGCGGAGGCGATCCCAGGGCTCCGAAGGCACCACCTACAAGGATCGCGACCCCGGCCTGCATGATGCCTGTGCCAGGTCTCATAGCGTCTGCTCTCTTCGTCAGGGGCTTAAGGGCTCCCCCCCCTGGTTGTCAGACAAAGAGCGCAAGGCGTCGACTTGCCTAAGGAAGCGACTCGGAGGGCTCAGCAGAACACACACAGCACGAATCGAGCGAACGAGCGCACAAGTATTCGCCCCCATGTTGCGAGCCCTGCACAGAGAGGTCAAACGTGGCGGCAGCCACGACGATGTTGAAGCACTCCAGGTTGGGCAGCCGCCTTGCGCTTCAATGAACTAGCAATAGCCGCTGCAAGGTGCATCAATGCGATCTGCCCCCCCCTATGTGCCCCCCTCCTGCAGTCGACTCGTAGTTCCCTCGAGGAGGCCTTGAGGTCTCAGCTCTGTCACACCGCCTTGCCTTGCCCTTGACCGCAAAAGCCCTGCTGGCTGTACCAGGACAGTGCTAGACGATTGTTTGAACCATGAGCTTTTCCGCAATGTCCATGTTTGTCCCGGTTTTTTCGGGCGTTTGCCGCTTGTCATTCCTGGGCGCTCCGTCCATAGACTCCCACTCCCCACTCCCGAGGCCAGAGTTCTGTCCAAGGCGCACGTAGCTGCTGTTCCAGCCGCCGAAGATGTAAATGCAATCCTGGACCCTTAGAAGCAGGGGGTTTCCGCTGGTGCGGGGGTACCCCGTTTGGGGGGGGGTCCCTTTAAGGGATTCTACTCTACTTGGGGTATGAAAGGCGTACCCCCCCCCCCCCCCCGCCCCCATTTTGGGCAATACACAGCAGGGGCGGCTCAGGGATTGAAAGGCCCAACGTGCCTCCCAAGAACGAGACCTCACTTAGACCTCAAACATGAACACTGAGACATCAAACATACCACAGGGCAGGCTGTCGAAATCTGAAGAGGTCAGGGTATTTCAGCGGGTTGGGGTTTAGGGTTTAGGGGGGTTTGAAGAGTGTTTGGGGCACAGTGTCACAGAATCATGCCCGGGCTGGGGAACGCACAATAAGTCATAGCCCGCCGCCTCTTGAATGTTAGAACCTCTCACTTCTCACCACCCAAGCCCTAGTTGCCCTAATTCTCCCAAGTGGCAAGACGGCCGTGTGCTGGTAGCGGGGCTCAATCGGGACGTCGCCGGTCGGAGTAATTTCGGTCCAGGCGTTGGTCTGTCAGGACTCTGAACCCTCAACTCCTCAGCAATAGGAAACCTCGGAAAGCCCCGAAAAACCCTGAGCACTGGAAGCTTACTTGGGACTGGGGCTTTGGGGTAGAATGACTTGAGGAAGCCCCAGGAATGTCGGGGGGTAGCATGAGAATCCCGTCAGAGAGCTGGACAACCGCAACTGCTGTTGCGAGACGCTGCGAGCCATCAACATCAACTTGGGGGGGGGGGGGGGGTTGAGCCGGAGCTTGTGATTAAACAATAAAGCCTAAACCCTAAACCCCAAACCCTAAACCCTAAACCCTAACCCCTAACAATGATCGCATCAGTTCGCATGAGGATGTCTCTCAATTATAAGTCCCCAGAAGAGCACATAAGCAAAAATTAGGATAGGGATATCCCATAAACCCCCTTAGAATGAAGCCCAATAAGGTAGGGATATCCCTATAAAATGCTTATGCTTATGTCCTTTTCGTGTCCCTACAATTAGGGTCTCTTTGGGGTCCTGATTCTCAAGCGGCCCTCTTATTGAGGGAGGGCAAACGTGGCGAAAGCTAGGGCAGAGCCGAGGAACCAACAAGCCAATCCCTGAGACAGTTTAGGGTTTAGGGTTTAGGGTTTAGGATTTAGGATTTAGAGTTTAGGACTTAGGGTTTAGGGTTTAGGGTGTAGGGTTTAGGGTCAAAACCATTTCGATATTCATGGAGCCTCCAGGCTACGCTCTTGGGAGGAAGGCTAGACAGAATGTGCTATCAGCCGCAAGGAGTATTCGTGCTATTGCCCTATGGAGAAAGGCCCTGAGAAGCTGCCATCGCCCCATATCGGTTCCACCTGCCTGAACGTTGTAGCACAGCCAGTCGTTGGCGAACTGCGCCACATAACCTCCTCACACCAGGTCGCGGACAGCCCCTATGCAGGTGCAGAGTTACCCTAAACCCTAAACCCTAAACCCTAAATCCTAAGCTGAGACGGTTCTTCCTAAGGAGGGCCCAGTGCCTTCGGCACTTCGGCCCGGAAAGCTTCCCCCATCGCCTGTGGAGACATTTGGCGGGCCCAGGTCGCCGCCGAAGACGTACATGCAGTTGTCGCTGGCCATGACCTTGTTCCGAGGGTTTAGGGTTTAGGGTTTAGGGTTTAGGGTTTTGGGTTTTGGGTTTTGGGTTTTGGGTTTTGGGGTCACTGGGTTTCTGAGACAGAAAAGGGGCTTGAAGGTTTGGGGGCTGGCCACACGAGCTGAAGCAAGCCCCTGGCGATTGGCCCCCTCTCTAACCGAAAGCCCTGCGCCCCGGAAGTTGGGCATCCTTGGGCATCTTTAGGGCAGCTTTAGGGCATCTTTAGGGCATCTTGAGGGCATCTTGAGGGCATCTTGAGGGCATCCTTGGGCATCCATAGCCATAGCCGCGCAACCGCCGTGTGCCCAAACCGCGGAGCTGGAGAATTGGTCGCGCCCGTGTCTTGCCACGCATCGGCCTGGCAACACATTTCAAAGCTTGCCACTCAAAATGTGAGGGAGCCGTGGAAGCCCCCCCGCCCCCAAAGAAATGGGGTTTTGGGGTTTCAGGGGTTTTGGGGCTTTGGAGTTTTAGAGGTTTGGGAGTTTTGGGGTTTTGGGGGTTTTTGGGGGTTTTGGGGGGTTGTGGGGGTTTTGGGGGTTTGGGGGGTTTTGGGGGTTTCGGGGTTGTGGGGTTGTGGGGGTTGTGGGTTTTGGGGTTTTGGGGCTAGGAGGTTGGATTGACTGGAGGCGAGCGGCCGTCAGGTTGTAGCACCACAAAGTCTTCGAGAAAACCAGCTGCGCTACCTCAGAGGGCAGCCGCATCCACCGCATTACTTTAGGGCTCTTCAAGCACTTTGATATCTAAGCCCTGGAAAGCGCTCAGATGTTCCAACACAAGCCCCAAAATCTTCCACGCCTGAGATCGGTAAACTTCCGCGCAAACCACGGCGGTGCTTTTGCATCGAGCAGCGAGCACCTTTGGAAGCCTATGAGCTTTCAAGAAAGTCATTCAGGATGTCGCCACGTTCGGCGTGCGGGGGCCAGCCGGCCATGATGAAGGTGCTTGGCGTAGCTGCGTAGCCTAATGGGCTCTGTGTATCCTGATGCCATGGGCCAACCCCTAAACCCTAAACCCTAAACCCTAAACCCTAAACCCTAAACCCTAAACCCTCTGCCTGCAGCAGTGGCACCCACCCGCCGTACACCAGCATACACTGGCCATCGGGGCTGAGGACCGCGCTGTGACCAAAACCTGGGTTTTATTCGGCTTTTTTGGGGCGGGGAAGCTCCTCAATCTGCCGCAGCCAGGAAGGACATAATGAGTTGCCCAGCGAACGCTGCCGGAAAAGCCTTCCAAGCCTAACGGAAATGAATGTCATCTCAAATCAAGGACGAGATTCGCACCGGGGGTGGGGCGCGGGGGGGGGGGGGGGGGGGGGTTGATCTATGGGGTTGTTCAACCTTTTGGCCTCCGAAAACAGCCGAACTTCAATCCCCACCATGCATGATGGACGCTGCTGACACTCTTGATGGACGCTGCTGACACTCTAAGGTAAAGTGCATTACAGCCATGATGAGCATTTTGCGCCTGACATGCCCGACAAGGTCATGGAAAACCCTCAGCACCAAACGACCAGGCAACTCGGGGAAGTGCAACTCGTCTTCGGCAACCAGAAGTTTCCCTGCGAAGAGGAGGTGGGGCTCACGATATTCGGGGTACCTTATTGGGGTCATGATAAGGGGATCCTACGATTTGGGGCCGGGCGCAGTATTGTCCGTCTGGTACGTTACGTCATGGCCATCTTAGATCTTCGTTACGAGTTTCAGCCGGTGGCCCCGGAGAAAAAATTCTTCTGTGCAGGAATGCATTCAATGATCGTTCTGCCTACATGACACCACCCGTTTGGTGCCATCACTGGCTGGAGCCCAACAGGGCTGACACAGCATCCTATGGCCGATGGCCGCACGACCCGTGGATGCTCCAGTGTGTTCGAGAGAACAGGCACTGCGACATGACATGATAGTAGAGCACACCTGCCTCTCAGGGCGTGAAGAGCGCAGACAGCCCCAACAACACGCCACAAAATGCACAGCTTGCATCCACATCAAGCACAGAATCTGTCGTCCCAACTTCCATCGCAAACATGCAATCGGATCTGCTACTTCAGGTTCGTCTGGAATTTCAAGCTGCATTCAGCGGATGCTTTGCTGCTGTGTCGTGTGGTGGATGCGAGAACCGAAGCACTTTGTCATGCGCCGGTCTTGATACATACAAAATGTCACATGCTGTTGGTGCAGAACACACCACAAGGACAACTTGTATGCTGATGCACAACGTACGAAGACACGCTTTTTTGACGATCATGTTTGTCTTCCTTAAAAGATGGAAAGATCATGCCGTCTGGCTGAAGGTCCCCAGTCGATACCACTGAAGCAGGTTGAACAACATGCTTCACGCTCCCTGCATTGCACAGATCATGTCCCGATTGCTTCACACGTACGGGTGCGCGCAAGGCACATGCACGTGCGCATCGAGGCAGCTCTCAGAGAGGCCCTGATCCCTGGAATGGGATCTAAGTTTCCCTGGGAAGTGAGTAGCAGAGTATCATATGAGTATCAGTAGGAATCTTGCAATGAAATGAGGGGCGATTTGGCAGTTTCTCGGCCGAAGGCCCCCCCGCGAACTGCAAGCATGGGAGACCTCTTGAGTCTCTTGAGGCTATCGCGCGAGCTTTACACAGCTGGGAATTCTGAGCTTCCGGCAGGGGGCCGCCTCGGGCTTTTCCAGCCAAACCGGGACCCTAAACCCTAAACCCTAAACCCTACACCCTAAACCCTAAACCCTAAACCCTAAACCCTAGACCGCTTGCCTGCGTCGAGTACAGCCAAAGGTCATCGTGTATCGTGTCGATACCTGCAAGGAGATCAGGGCAAGATTGCGACGGTCTGTAAACTCGAGGAGGTGTAGTTTTGACTGGAAGTTCTAAGGGTTCGAACCCTAAACCCTAAACCCTACACCCTACCCCCTAAACCCTAAACCCTAAACCCTAAACCCTAGGGGGGAAGAAGCCACCACCTGCCATCTGCCTCGGCGATCCTTTTGACCCAGGAACTCCGACACCCCCTTTGCTGAGGAACATGCCTTCAAGTAAATAAGGCCGGTGGCCTCTTTTCAGGGTTTAGGGTTTAGGGTTTAGGGTTTAGGGTTTAGGGTTTAGGGTTTAGGGTTTAGGGTTTAGGGTTGAGGGTTTAGGGTCCAGGGTCCAGGGTCCAGGGTCCAGGGTCCAGGGTCCAGGGTTTAGGGTTTAGGGTTTAGGGTTTAGGGTTTAGGGTTTCTTTATCTGTTACCCTTAGACTGTAATATAGCCTAGGAACCCTAAGAAGAACCCCCTACAACACAGAAACCCTTCTTAAAGAGACCACCAACCAACATAAAGTGTATAAGGAATATTCCTTAAAGTCGGAGAGGGCTCCTGATACTATACTCCCCTTAGAACCTCAATAAAAAAACACTATGTTTAATATCCTCTTGGGTTTTAGATAAACAAAAGCAAAAAATGATTCCCAAGGGGGAGAAAGTATATGAAGTAGGGTATATATTTCTTGTACCCCCAAAAGGACACCCAATATATACACTCACCAATATTCAAAAGGAACCTTATATACACTCACCAATAACATTAATATAAACCCTGTTTCATATGGTTTAAGGAATGGACCCGAATTAGGGGGTGTAGGAGTCTCTGGGGGCTCCACTCAAAACAGCTGAAGAAGGGGGGGCGGAGAACCCTAAACCCCAAACCCTAAACCCTAAACCCCAAACCCTAAACCCCAAACCTAAACGTCGCCTGAAGTGAAGTTAAAGGAGAACCCGCCGAAGACCAGCACCACGCCGTCGGATTCGCGGAGCACCTCCCGGAGACACCAAAAAGGTTTAGGCTTTAGGGTTTAGGGTTTAGGGTTCAGGGTTCAGGGTTCAGGGTTCAGGGTTTCAGGGTGGCGCAGCTCGCTCGGAGCAAGGGGATCTCCACCAGCAGCAGGGCTTCTGAGACGCAGTGGGGGGGGGGGCCTTAGGCGGACCCCCAGAGCCCTGAAGCCCGAGCCTGAAGAGTCTTCAAGTTTGGATGTTGCCCAAAAAGCTAACCACAGTCCTCAACGGGGATTCTAGTAAGGGGTACTAGAATCCCAATTTGAGGACTCTTAGTATAAGGGGGAACCTCCCAAACTTCAACCCACAAGCCCAAAAAGCCCTCAAAAAAAAAAAGAAATCCTCGCAAAAGCCCGCAGCCCACGGCCCAGAGCCCGTGCTCAGCCCCCCCCCAAGGAGACGAGGCGCCATGGAGAACATGTCGCGGCCCACCGGCCCATTGCCACCGACGGGCTCAAGTTGCACCCAGCTATTCTGCGCCTTCCCAGCTCTCTGTCTTTGTGGGGATTAGGGTTTAGGGTTTAGGGTTTAGGGTTTAGGGTTTAGGGTTTAGGGTTTAGGGTTTAGGGTTTAGGGTTCAGGGTTGGATACTTTGGGCTTGGGGCTTGCAGCTTAGACAAGGTGCAACACCGCTGCCTATCCCTCTGCGGATCGGGAAAAGAGAAATTGTTTTTGGTCCTGACTTCTGGACTTCTTTCCCGGCTCATTTCATTTGCCTGGCTCGTAACTCCGTCCCCCAAGCCCTTGGAAGCCGGTAGACTCTAGACCGTCTAAACCCTCTAACGAGACCTTCAAGTCAACAAACCCGCCCTAAACCCTCTCAAACCTGAACCGAAAGGCCCACTCAGTAAAACTCCCCCAAACCCAGAAAAACCCAAAGAGGCCCCAAGAGTCCCCAAACAAGGGTCCCGACTCTTGCCTTGCCCCCCACACCTTGACACCTTGACCCAGAGGCCCCAAAAGGCCCGGAAGAAGGCCTGCTCCGTTGTCGTGAAAGTGGAGGTTGTCGTCGAGAAGGTGGTAGAGGTGGTGGTTGTGGAGGTGGTCGTGTTCTGGCAAAAACAGGCGTGCTCTCGAAGGCGTGCTCTCGAAGGCTCGCTCTCAAGGGCCCCGGGCTTGAAGTCGGGCTGAAGGCTCCCCGGGCTTCCTGCTTCAGGCATTTCAGGCCAAGCTGCCCCGGGCACGAAAACCCAGAAGTCAGCTTGCAACCTCGGGAGCGGGATCGATCTGCCTTCACAAAATCTGGCAACGCGACACCAAAGCTGCCTTCGTCCAACGACCAAGCATGCCCCAATGGCGGGGTTCTGTTTAGGGATAGCGTGGGACTGCTGTGGGGAGTCGTACTGTTGACCTTCACATTGCGAGCCGGAGCACACCCCGTTCAGGTAGCCCCCGAAGAACAGCTGCGCGTCCCACTGCGGAACGTACACGGCCCGGGCGCCGGCCTGCGGCCAAGGAGTTCGCATGCAGACCCCGGGATGGGAACGTGGGACCCCGAAGCTCAGTGAACCAGGAGCCCGAAACTGCCAGAAGCTCCCTCCAACCTGCTTGGAGGACTGGTGGGTTGAGGGGTGCGCACTTGCTTGCTGCTCGCACTGGACATCTGTCATTTGAAAATATGTGTGTGATATATATATATATATATATATATATATATATATATTATATTGATTTATTTCTTTTAGTCATTTTTTATTTATTCATCTATGTATTTATTCAATTTATGTATATGCTTTTTTTCACATGTATATGTTTTGGGCTGTACAGAGTGAACATGCTTCTCAATAGCTAACCCTTCCAAAGGAGTCCGAAAAGGAAAGCCCGACAACCCTACGAAACCCCCCCCCCCCCTGTTGCCCAGAGGGCGGTCCCGAGGCTCGGGGTACTGGGACGTTACGTTCCGCCGCTCCCAGGCGCCTTCCTGGCAGGAGATCTACAGGACTCCATGGGAGGCCTGGAAGGCGATTTGGGGGTGGTTTTTGGCTCCGCAGTGCGGGTTCGGGCTCCCATTGCTAGCTGGTGATCCGATATGGCCAGCAAGACCTGATCCATTCGGCGTTTGCATGCTGGCCCTGATAGTGAGAAAGATGCTGGCAAGACCATCGCTGTGATGGGAAAGGCTCCGAAGGGGGAATGCCGAGAACCACAATGAAACAAACTTGAGCTGGCAGCCCTGGCCAGTGGCCGAGAAAGGGTCCGGAACAGACTAAGGACACTTTCCCCAACTCTCCACATTAGTCCTCCCCCCCCCCCTTCTGTTGGGGCTGTCAAGTTCGCGTAGGGTGGGGCCAGAACAATGGAAAGAGCGAACCCCTGCGGCTCCCGAGCATTTGGCAACAAGCCTGCAAGCACAGACAACAAGAGGTGTTCCATGCTTATCAATGCAAATAAGGGCTCCTCCAACAAGCCTACATCCTCCAGGCTCACTTACCCTGTCGGTCCAAGGTTTCGGGTTTACAAGTCCGCTTGTCTCCGGCATCTATATTTGCTTGAGCCCGCGGTATTCCCCCATGAGGTTTGGGGTCCCGCGGTCGCGTTCTGTATCTGCAGCCCGTGCTGACCGGAAACTCCGAGGTATACCAAAATGCTCAACAACAAAACGAACCTGATCCGAACCTTTGAAGTCAACAAAGCCGAAGCAAAGAAAGTGCGGTTAGGGTTGCGGATTAGGGTCCTCAGGGGCATCAGTCCTTGTAGTTGTAGGACTCGACGGTGCTTCCGTCATTCACGAGCATCCAGTTTTGTCCCTGCCCGCCCCAGACGACCATGCAGTCCTGGCGTAAGTTCGGTTACTCGCGGCGGCATCTGTCCTCTTAGTGCGCATCGCCCACCACGATACAATCTCCGAGCGATCGGTGCTGGGTTCGGTCTCCCTCTCTCCCTCTCTCCCTCTTCCCCTCTTCGATCTCTCGGCTCTCCGTTCTCTCTCTCCCTCTCTCTCGATCTCTCGATCTCCGGTTCTTTCTTATTTTCTTTCTTTCGTCCTTTCTTCCTCCCCTTCCCCTTCTCCCCTTCTCCCCTTCTCCCCTTCTCCCCTTACCCCTTTCCCCTTTCCCCGTTCCCTTTCCCTTCCCCTTCCCCTTTCCCCTTCCCTTTCCCTTTCCCTTTCCTTTCCTTCTTGGGGAGCCCCCGTGCAGGCCGGAAACCACGAAACCACGGGTGCTTCGGTCATAGCTGTCCCCAAGTGCTGCGTCTCCTACACATTCCTAGACGTTCAAAGGTCTTCGAAGCCTTGCTCAAGCTCTGTAGAATGTTCCATACTGTGCGCTCTAGCTGACACCAGCTGCACTGGGAAGAAGGCTGGTTCGGGGGGAACTCGGGGAACTCGAAAAACTTGGGGTGGCGTTGGGTTCAGGCAAGCTGCGAAGGAAGGCGCCAGTGCAGCAGCATGGTCTGGGCCGGTCGCTCGGCTTTGGAGATGTAGGGTCTTCAGGTCAAAGCATGAAGATCTCTTGGGGGGGGGGCGGGGGAGAAGGGGAGGAGGGGGCCTACAAAGCCTAGAGTCCTCGCACTGAACGTTACGTTGGACTGGGCTTGTCTTGGGAGGAGGCTTAGGCAAGTCGCCAAAAAAACCCTCAGAAACCTCCTAAACCCTAAACCCGGAACCCTAAACCCCTAAGTTGCGGGAAGAAAGCTTGCAAAGCCCCAAGGTCGCAACGACCAAGACGTGAAGCCGAGCTTCTCATCCGTCCTGTACCCGGCTCGAGCAGCGTGTAGTCGTGGCTCTGGCAAGTGAGAGTTGTGATTTGGTACCATCATCCCCAATAAGGACTGTTCGTATAAGGGGGTACTAGAATCCCTATTAAGGACTCTTATTAGAAGAAAAACATCCCAATTTATGATAGTTGTGTTCTAGACCCGAACGGCTTCAAGAACTGTGCACATATGTTGCCCCTTTGGGGAAGAAGAGTGTCAGTCACCCCAAGCAGAGGCTCCGCAGGAATCGGCCATTGACAACAAAACAAGGTGCGGCGTGTAAAAACATGTGTTAGGTTGAGACTCATGGGCTTCAGTATGCTGTGTGGCCTGGGCTTGCGGAGATCCACTTGAGGCCGTTCGAGGAAGAAAAAAGTCGAGGCGGAGGGTGGGATGGGGAGGAAGATGCATCCGAGAAAAAAAGAAAAGGCGGCAGCGGCACGACGATGTTGAAGCACCCCAGTTCGGAAAGGAACCTCGCGCTTTTGGGCTTCGTGTTTGTGCAAACTTGTTCGTGATTTGCTCGTGCTTCGGTTTGCGGTGTCGCTGGGCGTGCGAAGCCGTACGGCGTAGTGGAGGCTACACCCGTGCCCTGAACCCAACCATCTGTTGAAGAATTCAGCGGGTCGCAGGGCCGAGGAAAGTGCTGAACATACTGAGCTCTACCGAGGCTGCTTTGAGGTCTCAGCGGCCTAGCACACCTTGCCCTGCCCATCGACTTCAGGGCTCTACCACAGGACAGCAACTTCTAGACGATGGGAAGACCCTAAACCCTAAACCCTAAACCCTAAACCCTGAACCCTAAACCCTAAAGAGAGCTTTCGGATTTCAGAAGCCGATGCTACAAGGCCTCTCCAGGCCGGGGGGCTTCTCAGCGCCCCAAAACAGGTGACAACGCACCATCTTAGGGCAGATACATCGTCCCTTCGTATTGGGCCCTTAAAAAGGTACCCCCGTATATTAACAGAAAGGAACGCTGTGGGGGCCCCACTTTTCCACACATGAGATTTTAAGGGTTGTCTCATGTTTTTTTTTAATGCTGTTGTCATGGTTTTTTTTTCAAAGAGAAGAACCGCGTTTTGCAGGTTCATAGTCCGTGCACATGTTCATATGATAAAGTCGCTGGATTAATTTATATCATGAGGCAGTTGTATAAGTATGAGACAAAGCTTGCCACTCTCTCGAGGGCCCCCCCCCCCTCTTCGGGGAGGAGCTTCTCAGAGACGTAGTCGTGGGCCCCCCCCAACCAGTCTGCCTCTCCGTCCCTATACCCCTTTTCAAAAAAATTTCTAATAAGAACACAGCAAGAAAAACACCACGAAAATACCAAGATTGCTTGGAATAATACCAATACACGTGCTGCTGGCACTTTGGCGTTTCAAAAAGTTGGGAGAGAGCACTCGACATTCCATACATCCAAGCTTTGTTGGACGTTACACTACTACCTTGTAGGGAGGCAGGAGCTAGATTTTCGAAAAGCCGTAAACCCCAAATTTAGGAGATATGGAATGTGGTATACTGGTCATCACAAGACTAAAACTTATGGCATTCTCTACGGCGAGGTTTCGCCCTCACCTCTTTGTGCTTGGTGCTCGTCGAAGCTCTGCTACCCAGAACATCCAAATCCAGACAATATATCGCACAAATGTACATAACTATATAAAGTAGGGTTAATATTTCTTGTATCCCCAAAAGGACACCAAATATATACACTCACCGATTTTCAAAAGCAACCTTATATGCACTCACCAAAAACAGTAATATAAACCCTGCTTCATATCCTGTATTGGCTTTGGCCTGCCGTTTATGTAGTGGAGGGGGTGAGGGGCCTGTACTGCACTTTCCACACTTCTAAACTCGATGGGCCGTCACACAATGCATTCCTCATTCCACAACTAAGCTCATATTTGTGAGGGAAAGAGACGAATGGGGGCTGGATCTTCGGAAGCTAGACTTGTTCCTATAAAAGAAGGTACAAAGAATACGTTTAAAAACAAACTTGTTTTGTCTGCAATTTTCGGGCCTGTAATGCGTCTTCCTCTCGTTTTTTTTCTGATGTGGTTTCGTGGTTTGTTAGGATATTGCCGTGTGATTTCATATCATGAGGCAGTTGTAGATAAAACACGCAGACCCTTGCAATACCGGAACTGCCAAAGTAGAATATGAAGCCTCCCAGAGGCTTTTCTCTTGGAGGGGGTGGGGGGGGGGGGGGAATCTAGGACTTAAACTCGGAATCCTCACACTCTAATGAATCTGCAAGGGTCATGGGGGCGACTTTCCAGTATTCGCCCTGATCTCCGATGTTATCTTCCCGAGGCCCTGCTCAACATTTTTTCTTAACACCATTGACAAAAACACTTGCATCCAAATACCATGATGCGTGAATTACATTTTAAACAAACAAGCTTTGTAATCATCGGAAAATTCGATATAAAATCCACCGGAAATAAGGGGCCCTCAGGGCGTTCCGCTCTCCAGACATTTTGGGGCCCAACTTCCGGGACCAGGACCACGCCCCCCAAGTCCCAGTTCTCTCCAGGGCGCTGGGTGCCGTTGATACCGCCGAAGATGTAGATGCAGTCCTGGGCCCTGAGCTCACTGGCCCATGGGGTCATAGCTGGAACTCGTAGCCGTGTTAACGAACTCCCGCGGCCATTTTGGTGCACTCGAACTTTGGGAGGAGGAGGAGGAGGAGGAGGAGGAGGAGGAGGAGGAGGGGGGCGTTTGACGTTCGGGGTCACGAAGGTGGGCTTGCCATGGCCAAAATCTGACATGCCCCTCCGACGACTTCACAGCTTTGCCCTCGTGACTCACCCCTATTGACCTCCCCAGTTCGTCTGTGAACAACTAATATCATTTGTGCTTCTTGAAGTCTTGAGACGGGGACTGAGGCTTGGGACGATTCGAGACCGTTTTGTGAGGTTGGGCCCAACAGCCACTCGGGCAGATGTTGTGTTTGTGGTCGGCAGGCTGTAACATGCGGAGTGGGTCCTTTTGCAAAAGCGCGTTGGTCGTTGATGGTGCTGAGGGTTTCAGTTGATCTGGAGAGAATGCCTCATGCGTTCGTGGACTCTGCCCCGGGCTTGGGTTGTGGCATGAAAGTTTTCTGAATCTTATCACCCGGACCTCAAACGTGAACAACACTGGTCCGAAACCCCAAGCCCCAACGTTACTTAATGGGAATGTGCTCCGAAACGCCCACCGCCTCTTGCATCGAAGGCCTCTCAGCGAAAAGCCTCTGTAGACTCCAAATGCCGTAAGCCCCCAAACCCCCCCCCCCCATCAAAGCCCGCATCGTCCCAGGGGCAAGACGGCTGTGTGCTGGTAGCGGGGCTCAAGCGGGACATCGCCGGTCGGAGTGATTTCGGTCCAGGCGTTGGTCTGTCAAGACTTTGAACCCTCAACTCCTCAGCAACCGCAAACCACGCAAGCCTTGGGGGAGTTCGGATGGGGGGGGGGTTCAGCCTTGGGGACTTGAGGCTTCACCGGCTTCACCCCAAACAACGAAGGTCAGGCAAGAGAATGGGAACTTCGGTGTAAGCATATTCCACTGAAGAGAACATGCCTCGCCCGCCCGCCCTGCCACCACTTGCCTGCACGTTGTAGCATTGCCAGTCGTTGGCGACTTGCGGCACGAAGTATCCTCACACCAGGACAGCCCCCATGCAGGTGTAGAGTTGCCGAAATGGGGGCTTCCCGAGAGGGCCGAGCTGCTTCGACACTTCGGCCGGGGGGGCGTACCCTATCGAGGCCTGAGGAAGAGTTTGCAGCCCCCAAATAGCCACCGAAGACGTACATGCAGTTGTCGTTGGCCATGACCTCGTTTCGGGAGGCTCTGGTATCTCTAGGCGAGGAGAGTGCTCTAAACATTCAAGCTTCTTCCAAGCCCCCTCCCCCCGCCCCGCCCCCTCCCCCCCCCTCCTAAAACCCTAAACCCTTAACACTAAACCCAAACCCTAAACCCCGAAGCAGGGGGGTAGAACTTGAAAAAGAGAGGGGGGGGGGTTATGTTCCCGTAGGCCGCAGTGAGACGCACTATCCCCTCAGCGAAAGCCTTCCGCCCCGGCAGCTGCCCCAAGACAGGCTTTTGGGCATCTTTTGGGCATCTTTTGGGCATCTTTGGGCAATCATAGCCATCGCCGCGCCACCGCGCTGTGCCCCAACCGCGGCGTTGGAGAGTTGGTGGCAGACGTGTCTTGCCATTTGTCGGCCTGAACCGAAAGAACTCAAAAATGACTTCAGAGGCTTCAATTGTTTAGGGTTTAGGGTTTAGGGTATAGGGTTTAGGGTTTTTAGGGTTTAGGGTTTAGGGTTTAGGGTTTAGGGTTTAGGGTTTAGGGTTTAGGGTTTAGGGTTTAGGGTTTAGGGTTTAGGGTTTAGGGCTTATGGATAAGAAGCTTCGGCGAAACCTAAAGGTCGCATTGACTGGAGGCGAGCAGCCGTCATGTTGTAGCACCACAGAGTCCGCGAGACGTTCTCCTGCGCCACCTCAGGCTCTCGGAGATGAGGCGAGGTGTGGGTGGTCCCTTATGCAGAGGCGTCCTTGCTAAAGCGGGGCCTTTGGGGGGGGATTGGCTGAAAAATCGCAAGCCTGTAGGTCCAGCTGCAAGTTCAAGCCCCAGATCTGCAACAACATTCGCGCAAGCTACGGCGATTACAAAAAAAAGGCCTAGATGTGTGTAAAGAGAAAAGTGGCTCAGGATGTAGCATGTTCGGACCATCGGGGGTGTTAGCACATCCCTTTTTTGCGATGGCCAACCCTCTGACTCCTTTAAACTGCAGCAGAGGCACCCACCCGCCGTACACCAGCATACAGTGGCCATCGGGGCTGACAACCGCGGTGTGGCCATAACCTAAATGTTTCGGTCACTTGTGGGCCTTCTGTGGAGATTTCAATGTTGAGATCTCCTCAATACCTTGCAGGAAGGTCGTGCGTGCTTTTTTTGTGTTGTCGGGGGGGGTTGGTCCAACAACACAGCGCGGCCAGGCAACTCGGCGTGGGGCAGCTTGTCTTCGTCAACCAGAAGTTTCCCTGCCATGTGCAGCTGAGATGTACTGGGATTCTGGTATCGGCTGAAGGGGGCCTGACATGATGCGGCAAAGTTGTTGCCTTCCACCACAGGGCCGTTTAAGAAAAGAGGGCTCTTCTAGGGGCCCGTGGCCAAACTGCACAATCACTCGAAAGCTTGCCTGTGTCGAGTACACCCAAAGGGCATCGTAGATCGTCGAGTTTGAGGTTCCTGAGCAGGAAGTCAGGGCAAGCTTGGGGCTACTTTTGACTTTGCAGTCCTCATCGGGTTGCCCCTTCCTGCCCTACCACCCAAGCGGTTCCACAGAACTACAGCTGCCCGAGTGTGAATGCCCCGGGCCCACGCACCAACCGAAACGGCAGAGAAGAAAGGCCTAAACCCTAAACCCTAAACCCTGAACCAAAGGCCTGTAGCTGGATCAAACGCCCAGGAGTACCCGCCGAAGACCAGCAGCACGCCGTCGGTTTCGCGCAGCACCTTCAGAAAATGTTCCGCGAGGACGCAGCAGCTCTCTGATTGCGCCAGGCGTAAGGCGTAAGGCTCTGCGGATGGTCCGGCTTCAGGGCCTTCAGGGGCCTTCTGGGGTTTAGGGTTTAGTGGCATGGACCTTTGTGTATTATTTGGCAACCCCTTTTGTTTTATATTTTAAACAGAATAAAAACTTAAGAAACAACCCTTCAAAAAAACTCGGCGGCGTGGTTGAACTTCTCCTGCCCAGGTTTGGGTTGGGCAGAGGCATCGAATGTTTTATAGGGATTTGAGTTTAGCATTTAGTACTTAGGACTTAAGGGTTTAAGGGTTCGTTGTCGGTTTTCGGGTTAACCTAGAGATGAATGGGTAGGGTTTGTCTGCTTAAGGTTTAATTAGCCTCTTGAGCTCGGGATTTTCATCATGGGGTTTAGGGTTTAGGCTTAGGGTTTATGCGAACAAGAGGCCACTCTTCTTGCCCTGGTCTTCCCTAGTCTATTCGTTCCACTGCACGAAATTCATATCCTTTCGAACATCAGCGAAAAGGACACCAAGGAGGTGCCAAGAAGCGTGAAGTGCAGTCATTGGATGCATGATGTCATCTAATTCCTTTTTGTCCACATGGTCCGTCTCTCAGAAAAGGGAGAGCGGAGAAAGGAGGAGAAAGAACATGGGAAGAGTAAGGAAGTAGAGCTAGAGAGAGGATAGAAAGATAGAGAGGAGAAATGAAGGACAAAGACCGTGGAAGAAAGGAGTGAGCGATGCTCGGGAGAAAAGTGTAAGGGGAAAGGAAAAGGAACAGTGGATAACAAAAACAAGTGTCCTGCCCGAACCTATTCTCTTTTCTTCTTGATCTTCTCTCACCCCTGTTTGTTCTCCAAGCGGCCCTCTTTTCACCATCGCTTTATTCTTTTGCCTTCACCCTGTTTACCTATCTGTCGCTCTTCCACTGTCTCCCTTCTTCCTTTTTTCATGACTACTGTCTCCTTCTCTTTGCTTCTCCATCTGTCTCCATCTCTTTCACTCCGGAGCCCCCCGGTGTTTTCTGTTCATTGCTCATCCTTTCTGACTATACGAGGCAGACCCTGTACAAACGATGGGCCCTGTTCTGGACCTGGCCCTGCACTGCCTCTTTCCACACACTCCAAACCCCTCTAAGCCTCCACAAGAGTTTCAAGCAGCCTTCAGGGAGGGTTCTTCGCAAGGGGCCTCCAAGAGTGAAGGAGAGGTGTGAGAGGAGGACCCTTTCCCCACATTGCTAAGAAGAAAACAAGAGAAAAGAACAAAGACTCAGAGACATGTAGAGAGGTGTGGAAGGTAGTTAGAAGGAGCAGGACAAGTCCTCCTTCCATCTTATCATTCCTTCATTCTCCTTGCTTAACCTTGCCCGTGCTCTATCCCCCTACGTAATGACAAAAGGAACAGAGGAGGAAAGGCTCATGGAATGGAGGCGATAAAAGGGAGAGCGGAGAAAGGATGAGAACGAACATGGGAAGAGTAAGGAAGGAGAGCTAGAGAAGATAGAAAGATAGAGAGGAGAAATGAAGGACGAAGACCGTGGAAGAAAGGAGTGAGCGATGCTCGGGAAATAAGCGTAAGGGTGAGGAAAAGGAACAGTGGATAACAAAGACAAGTGTCCTGCCCTACCTGTTCTCTTTTCTTCTTGATCTTCTCTGTCTCCTTTTTGTTCTCCAAGTGGTCCTGTTTCCACCATCGCTTCCTGCTTCTCCTGCTTCATTGTTTCTGTTTCCTTCACCCCGTTGCCACGCTGTCCCTCTTCCGCTGTCTTCCTTCTTCCTCTTCTCCCTGATCTCTATCTGTCTCCATCTCTCTCTCTCTCTCTCTCTCTCTCTCTCTCTCTCTCTCCGCCCCCCCCCGGCGTTTTCCGTTCATTGCTCATCCTTTCTGTTTTACGAGGCACTGATCTGGACATGGCCCTGCACTGCCTTTTTCCACACACTCCAAACCCTCTGAGCCTTCCCCAAAGTTGTCAGGCAGCTTTCAGGGAGCGTCCCCAAGGGGTCTCCAAGAGTGAAGGAGAGGTGTGAGAGGAGGACCCTTTCCAAACATTGCTAAGAAGAAAAACAAGAGAAAAGAACAAAGACTCAGAGACATGTAGAGAGGTGTGGAAGGTAGTTAGAAGGAGCAGGACAAGTCCTCCTTCCATCTTATCATTCCCTTCATTCTCCTTGCTTAACCTTGCCCATGTTCTATCCTCCTACTTTATGACTACTTTATGACAAAAGGAACAGAGGAGGAAAGGCTCATGGCACGGACGCGAGAAAAGGGAGAGCGGAGAAAGGATGAGAACGAACATGGGAAAAGAAAGGAAGGAGAGCTAGAGAAAGGATAGGAGATAGAGAGGGGGAATGAAGGACGAAGACCGTGGAAGAAAGGAGTGAGCGATGCTCGGGAAAAAAGTGTAAGGGGTGAGGAAAAGGAACAGTGGATAACAAAGACAAGTGTCCTGCCCTACCTGTTCTCTTTTCTTCTTGATCTTCTCTGTCTCCTTTTTGTTCTCCAAGCGGCCCTCCTTTCACCGTCGCTTCCTCCTTCCTCTTCTTCATTGTTTCTGTTTCCTTCACCCTGTTTCCTTATCTGTCGCTCTTCCACTGTCTTCCTTCTTCCTCTTCTCCCTGATTACTGTCTCCTTCTCTTTGCTTCTCTATCTGTCTCCATCTCTCTCACTCCGGCGCCCCCTGGTGCTTTCTGTTCATCCCTCTGATCCCCCAAGAGTTTCAGGCGGCCTTCAGAGAGTGTCATCCAGGGGCCTCCAAGAGTGAAAGAGAGGCGTGAGAGGAGGACCCTTTCCCCGTGTTGCTAAGAAGAAAAATAAGGGAAAAGATCATGTAGACATGTAGAGAAGTGTGGAAGGTAGTTACAAGGAGCAGGAGAAGTCCTCTTTCCATCATATCATTCTCTTCATTCTCCTTGCTTAACCTTGCCCTTCGTCTAATTATGCCCCCTACGCAATGACAAAAGGAACAGAGGAAGAAAGGGCCCGCAGAAGGGACGCAAGAAAGGGAGAGTGCAGAAAGCGGGCGCACGAAGAGGGAGAACGAAAGGAAGGAGAAAGAGAGCTTGTTAAAGACAATAGCATTCCTGAGAACAGCGAAATCCTGTCGTCTATTGAAATGCTGGAGGGGCTCTTTGATTCCTTTTCAAATGAAGGCTTCTATCATTCATGGTGTTCCTTAGAACAGGAGAGCCTTTCAGGACAACGCCCTTATCTGTATTCAACATAGGCCGGGCTACCTCTGATTTAAGAATGCACGGAAGGGCTCATTCTAAGAAAATATACTCTCCCACCCCGAAAGAAGAGGACGGACCCACTCATCTATCAAGGAAAAGAGCCGAAAGCATCTGGGAGGAATTAAAATACGAATGAGGGGCTATCGCAGTATCCTTTTTTCTTCTGACACGGATTCTTTGAAAGAAGGGGTTCCTGCCTTTTGCTTGTTTCAAGAAGGGGAGGCTTTCGAGTGGCAAGGGGCGAGCTCACGCCCACCCCGGTCTTTGGGGTCACTCTGAAAACAGCTTGGAGAGGATAGTTGCTTCTCTCTCCTTTTTCCGTTTCTCTATCCCTTGCTCCGTATCTGTCGTTCTCGAGCCTTCCCTTCTTCTGTGAATCTGCTTCTTTCAATATCCACCAGGAGCCTGCAGTTTTCGCAAGGGGGCTTCCCTGAGGGGCTCCCTGAAAGGGCCTCCCAGGGGTTTGAGAGAAGACTGCGAGAGGGGAAAAGAGGACAGTAAGATCCTGTCCCCCGTTTCCAACAAGAGAAAAAATTGACAGAGAGATGTAGGTGATAGAGGGTAGTGAGAAGGATCAAGCAGAACTCCTCCTCTTCCCCCTCTCTTGTCTGTACCTTCACACTTCTTTCTCACCCTTGACTTTCTGTGGTTCTATTTCCTTCTTGAAGGAGAATTCCAGCTCCTCTGTTGTCAGTACCTTCTCTTTCTTATCCTTGACTTTCTTCTTTCATTCCCTGTTGAATGGCAAGTAGAAAACGGGAGGGGCGGGAAAGAGGAAAGAACAAGCAGAAGGAAGAGAAGAAGAGAAAGGGATGAAGGAAGGAAGGAAGGAAGGAAGGAGGGAGGGAGAGAGAGCGAGAGAGAGAGAGAGAGAGAGAGAGAGAGAGAGAGAGCGACAGAGACAAAGGCAAGAGAGAGAGAGAGAGAGAAAGAGAGAAAGCGAGAGCGAAAGAGAAAGAAAGAGGGAGAGATGCGATGAATAAAAGAACCACACTGAGCCATTTAAAGGGTGTTCTGTTAGAGGGCTCATGATTTAAGGATTTTGAAGAGTCGAATTGAGGTCTTGAGTTTTTTCAAAAAATTTAGGAGGCTCAAGATATCAACGTTGGGCAAACATCACGGTAACTGAACGATGCAAACAGTTTTAGTTCTGGTTAGTGCAAAATATCAAAATTTAGAGTGGAGACCTAAGACCTCAATCATACTGTTTATTTACAAAAATGCTCTTCAGGTTGCCTGGTAAATATCTTAAAGAGTTGAAAACGTAAGACTGCAACAACGTTAGCGAA